TGTGCCAGAAATATTGATCCTTTGATGGAGGAGTGACTAATTTTAAATACTGGTTATTTTTTTCCGTGTAGTCTAGGGAGCATGGCACCATCATGATGAGTGATTAAAGCAATTTCATGGGTTTACCCTGAGAGGGAAGGGAGAGGTAAAAGCTGGAATGCTGTTTGTTTTACAGGATGGGCTGCTTTTTTTACCAGAGCTACAGCTCTTTGTATTGCCCAGCTTTGCGCAATGTACCGCTGCCTTTCGGCTGGACTGCAAGGAGCAGGAAAATAACATCTTAGAGAATAAAGGGATAGATGTGAGACTATTTTTTTGTTTTTCCCCATGAAGATGTGGAGGCAGTTGCAGAGCTGAGCTTTCCAAGGTCTGGTGCATATTTTTTTTCCACTGTGCTGCAATTCACAGCGTATTTTGTGTAAAACCTGTGCCAGGCAGCTCCAGGTACAGCAGGATGCTCCTGGGAACACCATCACCAAGGGCTGCCAGCCCCTTTTTCTCAGCCAAGGGCTGCGTAGCAGTGGGATTTCAATAGCCAAGCTGACTTTTACTCCCCTCTCTCCAACAGGGAATACAACCTTTGAACTTGGACGGGTTACTTTATTTGATACACTCCAAGTTTAAAAAGTCAGTGCCCTTTAATTCTTGCAAAGAGCATGTGTTTGCATTCAGTTTTTCCTTCCTAGCTGATCTTTATTTTGGTTATCTCGTGCTCTGGGTGGAAGTTACTGATGCTTTGCAGTTCAATACAGAGGGGGAATGGGAACACGTTCAAAACAAGCTGGCGCTGCGGTCTGCTTGGGTATCGCCATCTTCAAACAGCAGAAGTATTTATTCTCTTCATTTCCAATTACAAAGATACACCACCTCCATGACACTGAAACTCTGGAGGACACTGGATTTTACTGGGGATTTAAAAAAAAAAGACCAAACAACTAAAAATCCATCTAGTGCTTAACAACTAAAAGTCCATCCAGTGTTTTCCATCCAAAAAAGAGCTAAAGACACTGGGAACTTGCACCTCCTCCCCTGATTTATTCTGCACCTTTGCAAGGCCGGTATAAACTGGACTTTTCACATGTGTTTTGGTTTCTTTTTTTCCCTGTTTTGTTTTCCCCAACTGATCTGTCTTCGGCTTCAGAGCTTTAAATGGCTTGCTAAGAAGAAGTAGAAAAACGCGGTTTAAATTCTTCTGGTTTAGGATTAAAATACACACCGTGCGGACGTCATGGTGCCTGCCTGCCTGGCCTGGTTTTTCAATCCAAATAGAGAAGAAGAATGCTGCCACCTCCCCTCAGCAACAATAAATGAGCTGTGCTGTGGGGTGAAAGCCGCGTTTGCCAAGGGTTTGGCATGGGGAGGAGGTAAGAGGCTCTCAACCTGTCATGGTTTAGGTAGGGATTAGATTTCTAGAGGAACTGAAACTCTGAAGAAAGGTTAAGTAGAAAAACCACAGCATTGCTTTGCACCAGGTTTTCGTTGCACGCACTTAGGGTGGCTGGTGCCTTCCCAGGTGGAGGTGACATTGCAGTCTATGAGGGGTCTTACCACGTAAAAACAGTGTAGGGTTGAATCTTAAGGAAGAAAGCTATAAACATGCTCTTAATCATTATTTCTTCCTTGATTGCATCCCAGGTAAAACCACCACCCTGCTGTTTATCCATCCTCCACCCCAGACAGAGCTCTGGAGCGATGTGCCGTGCAGTTTTGGCAAGATGTGGGTTGAGATGAGGACAGCTGGGTTGCACACAGGGATGTCATGTGGCTGCAGATGGGGCAGAGCTGGGTGGTCCCCCATTCCCCTCCTGCATCCCACGTCCCCATCTTCCCCATTGCTGCTGTGTGGTCAGCGAAGTGCCCTGGACTCGTCACTAAAAGCCAAGGGCACGAGGGCCGCTGGCTTTTCAGGAGGGGATCTGCATGACAAGCCCCAGGTCACACAATGGGACCCTCAAAGGCCACCAGGCATCATCGCATCCCCTGCTGAGCCATGGTATTGTCTGCAGGAGCTTGAATATGTGTTGTTTACAGCATGGAGATCCATTCAGAGCAGCGAGATGGATATCAGTGGCATATGTACGGGTGGGCTGCATTAAAGGGCTCTGTCAGGCTGGAAATGCCTCTGGCCTGCAGAACTGGGACTGCAGGGTTGGATCACTGGAAACCAGGCACCTCCTTGTACTGGGCTAGAGTGGAGCTGGGAGTGAGGACTTCTCATAGGGATTTGCTCTGAGTTGTTTTCTCTTGCTGCCTGAAATAGGTTGGCAGCCCTTCACTCCAATTTATCAGGTGTTTTTTTAATCTCATTGCTGCTTTTTCAAAAGAAAAAAGCGTTAACGTGAGTATGAGCTCTGGAGCAGCCCCGTGTCCTGCCAGGTCAGCTCATCTGACTCCGTTTTTATTTTTTGGCTGGTGAACAGCTGTACAACATGTGATGGAGAGAGAGGGAAGGAGCGGTGCAACTCGCACCCCTGCCACGCGTCTCTCTCCACTTGTGCTTTGGCACGGAACAAATATCGGTGCTTTTTATCAAAGCTGCTGTGCTTACATGCTAATCCTGCATCTCCTCGCTTCCCTTGAGCTGCTTCTTTACGATGGCGCATGGTCCTCAGCCTGGAGACACTTCTGCGTGATCACAAGGGCTCCTCGCCTCCCTCTTGGACCCGGGGCCAGATGCTGCCCAAGCCCACTTGAACTTTGACTTTCCCCTCCTGCTGTTCACATTGGGCAATAATTCACTTGTCATCGCGGGGTGATGACTCCTGCTCCCTCCCAACCCTGGCTGGTACCCTCCAGTGTTCCCAGAGCATAAAACACTGCGGTTTTCACATGTGCTGGTGTATGTGTGCGTGGATATGATTTACCATGGCATTCTCCTCCCCTAGACTTGGTAATAAACACTTGAGAAGGTTGCTGGGGAGGCCTTGCTTGTGTTGGGAGGGTTGATAATATTTTTATAACTATTTTGAGGGCGCTTTTGTGTGAAGTTGGGCTTTACAGAGAGATGCTTCGGTTTTGAGCGGGATTCAGGCAGCAAGTCCTCTTTGAGATGAGCAGCAGGGGGATGTGGCCCCTTTTTGGAAGGAAATTAGGTACTTCTGGCTTTTATCTAAATACAGCCAAGCAGTAGTTATCCAGGTTGGAGCCTGCTGCTCCCCTGGCTGGTGCCAAGGACTGCATGCAAGATTTGGTGTTTTGGGACCATCCCTACGTGTGCTGCTGAGTTCCTGGTGTCTGGAGACCACTATATACATCCTGGGAGATGCAGTTAACAGAGCAGCACCCTGACAGATCAGGGCTTCAGAAAGAAGCTTGTCCTTGCTGCCAGCCACACCGTACCCTTTACCAAAGCTCTGGGGTAAGAATTTTATGGAAAACCCAAGAATTGAGCTATTTCAGGCTCTTTGGGTAAGGGCAGGGTTGAATTTCAAGCACATTGCAGCGGAGCAGGCAGCACTCGGCTGTTGGGAGGGTGCAGATGCAGAAGCTGCTGCCCGATCGCCCAGCCCAGGAGCTGAAGTCGCTTCCTCCCTCAGTTCTCGCTTGCGAATTTAGGAGCTCCCGTGAGTTTGTCTACCAAAGCTGCCGATGAGCTTGCTCTTACAGTGTTGCCATCAGACACTGCCCTGCAGGGATCTTGAGAAGGTGACAGGAAGGGGTTGTCCTATGAAGTTAATGGGGGAAATGCAGAAATTGGGAGATCCTCTCTGAAATTGCAGGGGTTTGACTTTCTGAACACATTTCAATCTTGCTCATCCTCTGAGGCAGAGGAGCTGAGTGAGTCCTGTCTGCTCTGTCTTATGTTTAATTCACTTCTTGTCAGAGTTGCCTGGGTACCATGGGATGCTCACTGCCAAATGAGCAGATTTCTTTTTTTTGTTGCAGAGTTTGGTCTGGGGCCAAAAGCTCTTTTATTTCCCTGGGTTTCTCAGAGGGGTTGTCAAGCATCGTGTTCCCTCCCCGTTCCCCTTCTCGCTGCCTAATCCTTTCCCAATGGGACCGAAGGGGATGCTCGGGTAAGATCTGGGTGTATCAGCAGAGCTTTTCTGTGATGAGATGGGGTGAAATGCTGTCAGCTTTGGAAAAAGAGAAAGAGCGACCAGGTTTAGGTACACGGGCTGGTTTCATAGTCTAATTTGGCAACCCTGTAAACCATACAAACTAGCTTAGGGAAGGTAAGTGTGCTGAGTGTGTTAATCGTAGCTAATCTAATTAACTGCAAGCTGCTAAGGCAGCTTTCTTTGCACTTTCAGGAGCAGCTCTGCTTGAGGGGATAATCATTTCGGGACGTTCTTGCTGGAGGCTTACACCGGGCAGGGATACCCCAAAGCTGGGTTTATTGAAGTCAGGGCAGCCTGTCTGCTTTTCTCCTGTCTGAAACTTAGGGGAAAAGGAAAATTATCTTTTTTTCACCCAAAAACGTGAGGGTCAGAACCTTGGCTAAACTGTGTGTGTGTTGTTTTCCTAGGTGCGTGTTACTACGATGCCAACCAGTCGATGTACGTGTTCGGTGGCTGCACACAGAGCAGCTGTAACGCCGCCTTCAACGACCTCTGGAGACTCGACCTGAACAGCAAGGAGTGGATCCGGCCCCTGGCATCAGGTGAGGGGTGGCAGATATGCACCTCTCTGCCCCCAATTTGTCCAAACGCACTATGTCCCCAGGGCTGGCTGCTCTGAGTCTGTATTTCCCCACATGTTTTATCATTAACTGACTGGTTTTCAGGTTATATTGGGGTTTTTTGCTTCAGATCATGCATCTTCTTGGACTTGCAGCGCTGCACTGGGTTGTTTCTCTTTGGAGCAGCTGGTTCATGTCATGCAGGATCAGTGACGCAGTCGTGAGAGCTTGTATTGATAAGAGTGGTTGTCCCAGAGCTGAGGTTTTATTTTTTTAATAACTTTGGTAGCTGCCACTTCAGGTATTTTGAGGAGTGGAGGAGACGTGCCCGTGCGGGCTACTCGCAGAGAGCAGGAGAGTGTGGGAAAACAGGTACGTTCCTGCAGTCCATGCACTCTGAGCAGGGCAGGAAAATGCCACAGATTATTTCCCACACTGTTTTTTTTTGTTCTCAAAATGTCACACACGGCACGCTTGTTTTCCTTATATTTCTGAATTTGACTAAAATAACTTGGAGAAAAGCAGAACTGGGGAAGCTCTTTGGGGGCGGGGGAAGCCAGTATTAAATTAGCCATTTCAGCAGAAGCTTTACATTTAATGGAGAGTAGGAAGAAGAAAAGAAGCTCAGCATCCACCAAGCACGCCTTGCTGACTTGCCTGCATGCAGACTCCTTCTGACCCTGCTTCGTGTGCTCTAAGTGTTGTGGATTACTCAGTTATTGTTTGAAGTCTTATTTTCTTGTCAGATGCTCTTTCTTATGTGAAGTCCTGAAGTCCTCCAAAATCCAGATGCTTCCGCGTACTGTTGTTATCTGGGGATTGGTTGTATGTCACTTTGAAATGTTAATGCGTAACCTGGTGCTCGTGACAGCTCACTGGTTATCCGTCTATGCAACCCTTGATATTTTTATTTGGTTTTTGTCTGCTCCTCCACTGTATGATGCTGACAGGTGAGAATTAAGCAGTCACGAACTTAAAACGGAGGAAGAAGACAAACCACAGTCTACCCATATGTGGAAACCGGCTCTCGCTCTTCCTTCTTCCCTGCTCAGGGGTGGAGAGGAGGCCGTGGGTAGCATAAACAGGATACCGGGCGATGCAGACCTCTGCTCTGACCCAGGACATTTATTCTTGCAGCCCAGCGAGTTCTTCCGTCAGGTTGAATGTGGGGCATGACTCGCAGTCGCGTTAACAGCTCCGGCCGCCGGCACCCAGCTCTGCTCAGTCACCCTCTTGGTATTTCGCAAAGTCAAATTCCCACTGCCTTACTAACAAAATAACACTTTTAAAAGAACGAGTCCTGTGGGAATATGTGTCAGAGTGAAGTCCCATGGGAAGATCCCCCGAGGAAATATTTCTGCATGCTGTCATGAGCGCGTGTAGCGAGATGGGATCGCAACTGAAACTTGGGGCAGTCTCGGCGAACAGAGAGCGCTCTTGTTCCCCGGTCTTCAGAGGAGATGAGTCACCCCACACTGGTGCCAGTGGTGGTTTCTTACACATAGCTGTGGGTTTTTTTCGGTGCCTTTAACCAAAGGGTTGGCACCCGCTGCCTGGGAAAGAATAGTGACTGGAGGGGGCAAAAGCCAAGAGCTTTGAAACTCCGGAGTCAGACGTAAATAAGGCAGGAGGGATTTTTTTTTTAACATGAAAAGCTGACGTTGGTTGGTTAACACTTGGTGTGTAGGCAAATTGCTCCTGGAGGTTGATGAGGAGTTCCCACCTCTGGCCCTACAGACTCTATAGGGTAGAGTTTGCTTTTCCACCCTATTTTCGCAGCCATTGCTTGCTCGGAGATCACACTCGACTTGCAGGAACGGGAACACGGTGCCAGGGCCACACTAATGCCTTGGACAGGGTGAGCTGGAACAGCTTCATCCCGTTCCCCTCTCCGAAGGGCTTTTCCAGGAGAAAACACCCGTTGTTGTTGTTGTTGTTGTTGTTGTTCATACCTGTTTTCATTTGGCTTTTCTTACTCGCAGGCATTAGATGACATCAGAGCTGGGTAATTCATCTAAGAGTAAATATTTAGCCTTCAAAGAAAAAATTGGCTCGAGTTTCTTTAGTCCCGGAGATGGAGGAGGGAGATAATTGCTTCCAAAAACCCTAATTTTTGAGGTTTCAAAGTATTTTTTTTGCTTAGATCTAAAACAATGGCATTGACTTATTAGGCTGGAGCAGAACAGGAGAGTTAATGCCTGGCTTTTATGTAGTGTTTTTTTTTTACTGGTGGGGCTTAATGCTCTACAAAGGAGGGGAAGGCAGCAGGATCTCTATTTTAGGAACAGAAATGCCTCTCAACTCTTCTCCCTCAAGCTCTTCTGGCCACTTTGGAGCTACTTTCCACCTCCTTCACTCCCACATTTTGCTGGAGCTGGAGGGGAGGGATAATTAATGATTATGTGGGCAGCCGGCGATGTTATCCCAGGGTAGGTGGTCCCTGGGAGGCAGGCGCCTTTCGCCATGTGTAGGGGATGCTTTCTTTGCCTTTATTTGCATAATTAATCTGGGTACTTTGACTTTTAGCCTATCTACACAGAGGGAAACCTGCTGGAGGACTGGAGGTGGTTTGTGCTGGAGTCTGTTTATCCAGCTAGAGGCGAGGATTCGTCTCGGCTCCTCGGTAACTCAAGCTGCAGCATGCTGCGAGGGCGCAGGCAGGATGACTTTGGTGGCCACAGACCTCTGGTGCTCCCTAGAAACAAGCTCTTGCACAGCCGAAATGGCCAGTAAAGAAACCAAAACCCATTGGGAATGGAGACTCCCAATGGGTGATGCAGGGGTTCCTGTGGTGAGGGTTTTGGCGTGGGTTTGCTGACACCAGGAGTTGAATAACTCGGGATTCAGCCTTGGATCTGCTGCAGCGGTGGCAGGGAAGGCTTGTCCTGTTTCCGTGCAGGGCTGTGAGACGGTTTTGATGTGATCCCTTCAATCTCTGTTCCATGAAAACTGCTGACAGGTCCTGGGAGAGGCAGCCTCAGCCATCAGCACTGACCCGGGCCCTTCTCTATCGTCTGTCTCTCCTGTTCGTGACATCCTCGGGCTGCAGCGGATGCTTTATAGGCAGAATCAGGAGCGTATCCCCAGGCAGCTATCCTTCTGGGCTGCCTGTGCTATTTCAGACTCTGTTTCTGCAGACTTTCTCTCTTCCTGTGTTTGTTTATATTCCTCAGGAGCCCTGCACTTGGCCTCTGCCTGCCAGAACCCTGCACTAAACTGGGAAATACCTTTTTTAAATCAGAGAGAAAAATGACAGTAGTTTTGCCCATGCTCCCAAGGCCTTATGGGACAGAAGTGGAAAGCTTTTCTTTTTGAAACTGGACCTTTTGCTTATAAAGTAAGGAATGACGATATAAAGCCCAGGTCTTTTCAGGGAGAGGAACTTTATCTGAAGTCCTATGAGGTCTGTGCATCCTCCTGTTTCTGCTTTATCCACAGCCAATCACGATCCACCCCTTTGCTACCATCTTCTTTACAGCTACCTGGGATGAGAAGAGAGCCGGGAAGACCCTGGTTTTCCCTTAATGCCGTGTGTTTTCCAAATGCCGGACCATGCTGTCCCACTCTGACATCAGGGGAGTTCAGGAGACTGATGGTTCCACTTTTCCTGTTTGCTGCGAAAAGGCTTGCAGCTGGCCCCATGTCCACTGTGGAGGTAAAGCTCCCCAGAACTTACTTTCTGGTGGTTTTGTCTCCCTGTAGTCATGCTGCATTCGCTTTTGCTGGGGAGATAGGAATTGTTCTTGAGACTTCAGGATAAAAAACAGGCTTGGAGGCAAAATTCATTTATTAGATGCTCTGATCCTCTCTGTCCATGTTCACAGCATCAAGATGTAGCCACAGCAGAGCAGCTGATCCTCCCTGCTTTAGCCTGAAAATGAGTAGAGACCTGAAGTCAGCCTGAAGTTTACACTTAAAACCTCCTGGGTAGCCTTAACCCAGCACAGTAAGTGTGCAAAAAACCCTCTCCCACCTCAGTTTCTCTTGGCTCTGTTCTTCCCCCAGGTCCCCTCCATGCTTTGAGTGGGAGCTGCTGGAGTTTGAGGATCAGGTTTTGAGGGGAAGGTGCCTTTGATGGTGTTGTGTCAACAAAGCTGAACAGCCCAGAGGAGGTAGGAGAGGCTCTGCTGTCACCTGCCCCAGGTGGTGCTATCAGATGTGGTCCCCATGCAGTGGGAGGCTTTCTGGACTGAAAGAAACCCACCCGTTAGTCATCGAGAGCAAGCGGAGCGGTTTGCTCTGTGCAAAAGCCTTGCCTCAAGCTAAAACAAAAACAAGCTGTGTTTTCATCATCTCCTTCTAGAAAACTGTGGTAAGTTTTCAAAACAGTCGGTGGAGTTTCATAATGTTGGTCCTGATCTGGGGTGAGCTGCCTTGTTCTGAGCCTGCTCACTGATGGGACCTTTTTGGAGCTGAAAGGGGACGTGAGCCACAGTGAAGGACAGGACTTCCCAAGGACGGGATGTGGTTGTGCAGCTGAGATCCAGCAGACATCCAGACCTCCACGTCTGCAAATCAGTGCAACTCTTTCACACATGGCGTAAATAACGCGCAGGACACATGGCTGCAGGGCAGTCCAAGAGGTCACTGGGGTTTCTGAAGAATAAACAGTTGTTAGAGTAGTGGAAACCACCTCCTGTTTGGATTTAAAGTCCACCGTGTCCACGGTCTGTGCAGATTGTGCAGTCCTGGGTTGTGTTTTGCATCTTCTTCTTTCTGAATAGCTGTAACCAGCTGAGACTCGTTGCTGAAATCCTCAGCCCTGACCCTGTATTGCAATTCCTCTGTTCCTGCTGCAGAGTTGCTTGGCTTGCAGTAACGTAGGGAGCAATCTAAGGCACATCCTTGCTTTTGAGGATTAAAAAACCCACAAAACTCTGACCTGACCCTGCCGATAGCTTCTCTAGAGCAGAGTTTCTCAGCCTGTGGACATCTGCCGGTCCCCGAGACACCATTTTGGAGATGTTTCTTAGCAAAACAAA